CTTTGTCTTTAGTTTGAAATGTCCCTTATGGTTTTTGCATATTGTCAAAGTGACAATATAGATAACTCGAGCTTGCGTGTGAAGTTGAAATCGTTCTTTTTATTTGAATTGTGAATCTCTGCATCCTCTTCCTAGTACCACTGCGTGCAGAGGCTTTTTTCCCCCTTGTGAGAAGGCTGTGGGATCTGAGAGTACCAATAACTAAACACGCTACACTTTAATGAGTCCTAAAAGGCAGCCAGCACAGTGGGGTAAAACTGTGGAGGTGGGTGGGTTTATCCAAGCAATGATGGGGGGGGGGAAACAAAAAAAGAACAGTGTGGTCTTTATCTGGGGCTGGGTTCTGACGAAACCTGTGAGGCAGGGCCCCTAGGGAAACGAGATGCTCCGCACTCAAATGCCTGCGCTAAAAGGAAGCTGCTGGCTGGCTGCACACAGTGAAAGCCTTGCATGGAATTTTTGGGGAGAGGCATCTTGCCAAGCTTTCTCTTCCAAGTGTTTATCTAATGAAATATTTCTGCCTTGTTGCGCTATCTCAAGTGGGACAATAGCCAATGTTTGTGCTTTGTACTTGCAATAAAAGGTGAAGCATATGAAATGGAGATTGAAGGAAGTCATTTTTTTCAACGCAATATGTTCTGTTGGTGCTGCTCTTCTCACAGTCACTATGCATGTGGGGAGGCCTTTTGTGGCTTATAATTGTGCATTTTGTTTGGCATATGACAAACTGGCTGAATATCATGAAGGTTTTTCAATGCTTTGTCTTTGTGCCCTTCTTTGCAATCTTAACTGAACTGCACAAAAGTTGACGTGTGAAAGCAGAAGGCTACATATATTTTGCAGTCGGCATTTGGTTTTATATTTTGAGACACATAACAGATGGAAAAGCAGCAGGAGGGTTAGGTTGACCTGCAAAGTTCAAGCCCCCATCCTTGCGTGACTGGGATGCTTGCAGTGCGCTTGGTGTCATTGTTAACTGTACTTAGTATTGTTTTATCAGTTAGTTTAAAACTGATGAGCAAACTCTGATTTGATATTGTACTTCCCTAAATCCAATATTATTTCGACTAATGCATTCAGGGGAAACCCTTGTGTATTGACCAACATCTTTAATTCAGTTTTTGGGACTGCCAGATTAGATCATGACTGCTCAGCATCACAATGTAATGATCATACTAACATTTCGGGTCGCTCTGAAACTTCGTCACAAGTATTTTACACCATTCGTTCAACCTTGATCCTAAATAATGCTCCGCCCACTTTGTGTGCACAGGTGTCGCAGTTGTTCTCCTGTACGAGTATCTCTCAGTAATTGACGGCATCCCCTAATCTGTCACATTATGTTACAAACTAGGCATCACAACTAGACGGTTGTTACAGATCCCCCCTGAACCGCGGATTAATTAGTTTAACGTTGTGAAATAAAGTTTTACTGACGATCGTTATCCGCCAATAGTAAAATATGCGATCAGGATTTCAGCATTTATGCTTTTCTAGTCGCCGATCCTTGATAATGTTACTTTGTAAACAACAAATCTGTGTTTGAATCAACAGGAGGCTAGTAACGATGGCGGCACAGCTATTGGCCAACAAACAAAGGTTCCATTCAGTTAAATTTTGATGCGTTCAGGCTCTGTTCAGTGAAAATGACTGTTGGGTGAAGGTAAATTATCACGTGATGTGTTCACATGTAATCTCATAAAACATAGTGTTGTCTAGAAACTTATAAATGTTTTCACAACAACCTAAATGTAAATTAAAGAGGGAATTATGACCTGTTTGCAATACCTCTAAGCTTATAATCATTGAAACTACTAATGACAAGATTAGTTTTAATCAATAAAATCAGTCTATCTATTATTGAATTGTGTTACAATAATTGTGTTTTCTTCCTCTTATTAAAACAAAGTAAAAAGATAACATTTAAAATTTGATGGTATACACTGACTTCAGAGTGGTTTAAATGATTTTTTGGACAGTGGCAAAACAATATATAATAGTCTGGAGCCTTGTAGACAGCTGTATAATCAAACAACAACGGGATGTATCGGCCAATGTGGATCATTAGTATCTGCGCCAAAAAAACATGATCAGGAATCTCTAAAAGTTATATTTGCTCCCTTTTTTCTGTTTTGCTGATCCGAACCGTGAGCTTTAAGATCTGTTGCGCCACCAACCACAACACACAATTAAGTCTATTTAGACGAATATTTACTGAAATTGCATCTGATGTATGAAAACATTGGCCTTGCTGCTTTCATGTCATTCAAAGTTGTGTAATCATATTCACATGTGAACCGCGGATTAATTGCAGCTTACCTCAACCATCACAGTGTGAAATATTGTTTTACTGACCTCGTTATCCGCCAATGTTCTGTAAAAATATCAGGACATCGACATTTATGCTTTTCTAGTCGCCGATCTCTGCTCATGTTACATTGATGTTTGATCAGATGTTTTCACATATTGGAGAGAACTATAACCTGTTTACACGAGCTCTAAGCAGCTTATATTGCATCATTAAAACTAATGACAAGATATGTTTTAATCCTTTATTTCCTAATCGTTTGAACTGTGAAATTATGAAAGAACACCATAAATTACTTTCACAAAGTAAAAGGATGACATTTAGAATGTGATGGTTAACAGACTTCAGTGGTTAAATTGATGTTCGGGACGGAGAAAATCAAAGATATTCAATTAACAGCATGAAATCCACAAATTGCAGATCTTATGATTGTCAAGTGTAGTTATATCGCCGCCCTCGACACAAAACAAGTCAGTCAGTAAGCACAGTTGCGATGAAGCAGCATGCAAATGATGCAGCTTAAGTGTATTTTCATACATTCACTGAGGAATCTGTAGAAATGTCAACAAACAGTGAAATGGACATATTGTCAGTGACGGGATGTTGTTACTCGGATGTGAATGCGCTGCTGCTGTGAGGAGGCTCTTTCACAGACTTCACGACTCAAACGCAGCTTCTCGAACACGACCGGCCTAGCTCAGAGCATTGGCTTGAGTTCACCGTGGTCATGTCACAGCAACGGATACTACTAACTGAAAAATGGACTACTTTCTATTTGCCTTGAAAAAACTCTGCGACCACTCTTGTTTTACTGGCTTGATTTGGAGTATGTAAAATACAAATGTAAAACACTTACAGCTTACAGCAACATGTGCTGCTGATCGTCGTTCTGTTCTTTACAATCCTGATGAGTGTCTTATGAGCTCAACACATATTCTCCCAACTGACAAGTGTTCTTCTGTGCACAGAGGGTAAATATATCTAGACAAATAACACTGTTGCATACATTGTCATTTTTAATCAAGCTATCGCAGTGAACCCTGATCGCACGCCTTCAGGTTTTCACACTCGGATAAGCTGGGGGCGCGGTTATTTTCTCATCGAATAAGGGTCCAGAGCAGATCTACAGCTGTTTGATCTGACTTGCAGTGAGCTGTTTGCTGCAGTTTGTCATTTCACGTGCATTTTAGGTACATCGTGACGACGACAGCTGAGATGTGGCAGTGTTGAAACACTATCGGAGAAAAGCAGCAAATACAGGAAATGGCTTGTTCAAAAATCAAGGGGGATCCTCTTTTGTCATGGTTTATCAAATACTATTGGGAGTAAAGTCTTTACCTGAATGTGTAAAAGAAAAATATCAGATGGAGCATGTGTCAAAGCAGTATATACAAGGAATTTATTGACATGTTGTGCATATACTTATGGACCACAGTGTGAACAGTGTATTTTAGGTGGCAGAGATATTTTGACAAAAAGCAATCAAGATGGCATAAATAATTGAATCTCGCATTGTGTCCTTTTTTTAATTCATCCATTATCCTATCCTTTGGCTGAGTATGTTGAAGCACTAAAACGGCACATTGGCTGTAGTTTGAGAAGCGCTCCACTAAGAAATATTGATCCGGTTTAAACCTGTTCAGTGCACAATTTGCAATGCTGTTTTCATCACTTGAGTAGAGAAAATCAATTTGCATTTGAGTTATTGCAGGTTGACATTTTCCCAAGATGCACCCAACAAGGTGAAACAAATTGATAAGTAGAAGACTAAATGCTCAGTCATGTGCTGTATTAAAACATGCAGCCTAAGAAGCTGCTATAGTGGAAAAAGCACAATTGTTTTATGTTTTTCCTAAAAAGTTGAGCATGGTGGTGCTGCTGTATGTGGCTGATTTTACGCTAGTGTAGTGGACAAATCAAATCATTGGATTTTGTGTAAATAGCAGCATGTGACCCAAATAATGGAAAACTTATACTGTATTTATCGTCAACTGTGACACATTTTACTCTTAATTTGAACACATTTAATCTATGGTAATGTAAATATGGTGCACTAGTTATTGTGTTTCGTGATAGGACTTGCTTTGGTTCACTATAGAGTATTAATATAGATTTCTTACCTAGTTTGTAAGGGTAATATGAGTTTTCTTTTTGCCACTGTGTTGGTGAATGCTGGCTCGTCTCACCTTGATGATCTAACCGGTCTGTGGTTTGTTTTTAAAGTATGACTTTAAGGCTTATGGGAAACTTGGAGTCACCGTTCAATGTGGATTAAGTTGTAATGCTTTGTTTCCTGTGTGCCTGTGTGCTAAAGACTGAATTAAAAATGCAGGATAAGTCGGCGTGACTTAGGTATCCGCTCTATTGCAGGATAGAAATAATCGGAGCAGATCGGTTGATTTGTACTTTCCAATTTCAGTGATCACCTTTGTGCTCTTCTCCATTATACTAATTTGCCATTCTTCATGCTTGCTGTCAGTGTTGAGGCCAATGTTCTCTCTCGACTGAACACTCTGCTTTTTGCTCCTTACTGAAGATGAATTGTGACTTAAGTGAAACATTACCTTTTGCTTCTCCCTGGTTTAAGATCGTACATGACCCACTCCCCAACAATGACATGTAATCACCTCTGACTGTTGCTTTTGTTCTTGCTGATCTAACGTGAAGTACTTTTTTGTGTCCACATTTTCAGACGGTAACACCAAACTAACATGGCAGTGAGACTGTGCGATGTGGCTTCTCTGCTTAGAAGTGGTTCGTGGGCGCCTGAGCCTTGGACTGGGGTTTGTGGCTCTTCTCTCTTGAAATACTTTGCGTTCTGTCTCAATGCTGAGGCCATACCAATGACGCTAGCTCTGTTATGTTTTGACCCTCGAATCAAATGAATCACATGTTCAATTTGGAATTCAGGTATTGGTATGGTCTAAACTCATCTATTACTTACTCACCATCTTGAATATTGCTTTATCAATAGTTGAGCTTCTGACAGATTAATAGACTTACTTTTTCAGTGGAAAGTCTCATCTGTTTTCCCAGAAATAAAAGCAGCCATCATGAACAGCAGAGAGGGAATTAATTGTCTATTTTCAACTTCTTTTTACCACCTGTGGTAGCACTCTAAGATCTAACATTTCACACTTGGTCAGACATCTACGCTTTAGTCACACATTTGCATATTTTAAAAGCATGCCCTAAGCTCTTCTGAGGAAGAAGTATCTTTCTGAACATGTAATATCCTGTAATGTTTCTTTAATGCTAAACTGAAGTGTGTTAATGCACAATAAAAAACAGCATGAGGAATCTTTGTCTGACAGTCTTTTGACTTGTATGTTCCCTTTAACTTAGATGTCTTAATGCTATTCCAGTTAGTTAGTATACCAACAAAACAATGTTTCAATTGGTTGTTTGTTGGATGATGATAATTTCCACGTGGGTTTGACTGGATTTGTTTCTGTCTCTTTAGCAGGTAATTGCTGCAATGGAAACACAGCTGTCCAATGGGCCGACCTGCAACAACACAAGCAACGGGCCCTCGACAATGTCAAACAACTGCTCCTCGCCTGTAGAGTCAGGGAGCATAGAGGACAGTAAAACTAACTTGATAGTCAACTATCTGCCTCAGAACATGACCCAGGAGGAGTTGAAGAGTTTGTTTGGGAGCATCGGAGAAATTGAGTCCTGTAAACTAGTTCGAGACAAAATAACAGGTAACGCAACCATTTTCATTGCTATGGCTGTTTATTCGCTAAGAATTGTATGTGCTCTGAGCCTTTTTTCATATAAAATACAGTTAATGTAAGTTTAAAGTATAACAACATCAAACCCAATCAGTGAGGCCCTACAAGCAGGATTGTTAAGTCATAAACTTTTCTTTTTATGCATGCACAGTATGTGACCATCTCTTTGTATATTTGACATCTAGCATTATATTATGAAGAATACCAACCACTGTCTTTATTGGTGTATTTTTATTGCTATATTAACGCACCAATGCTTCTCTCAGAGGCTATTTCTTGGTTCTTTACTCGGATTACATGCATTTTTATATTCCTTATTTTTGGGCAGCTAGATGACTTGCAAATTATTTCATTTTTATTTTTAATGAGAGGAATGCATCTGGCAGAGACACAGATTGCGAGTGTGACATGAGCATGTAGATCATGAAGCTGAAGCTGCTTGATTCTTTTGCTCGCTGTTTTGATCAAGGTTACCTCGACCTTCTTCCATCTGCTTCTTATAGCGTACTCAAATGGTCCGGCACATGAGCCTATTATACTTTTTTAAGGATTTATACACACGTCTGTTTCGTTTGCATTTGGTCGTGAAACAGCATTGGCTCAATGAACAGATCGTTCCCTTGAAATGAGTCTGGAGGGCTGGGGGCTCCTATTGAGAAGCGCTGTTGAACTGAGATGCTAGAACTTCAGTAACTGTGGATTATCTTTATTCTGAGACTCCAAGGTATTCACCGTCATTAAATGAACATGGAAGATGTGCGCCCAGCCGCATCTGGTGTTGAAATGATGATTAATGTTTCACAATGCTCCTCCCTCTTGTCGTCGCCGATCCCTGATTATGCTGTGTTGAAATCGTCAGGAGGAAACCTGTAACGTTGGCAGCGCGTACAAACAACGTACAAATGTTCCATTGAGTTACAGTACGATGCGTTCATTCTCGATTCAGTAAAAAATAGTACTTATCGTTATCATGATGCGCTCTAATGTCGTCTTGTAAAATGTAGTTTTTGCCGATAACCTTGAATATTTACAGTTGTTTTGGATGAGAGGTTTTCACAGCAATATAATAAATGATATTAGACGGGGAATTATTACCTGTTTAACTTCCTAACACAAGCTCTAAGCAGATTATAATTAAATCTACCAAAGCCAAGATGTCTCAAATTAATAAAATTACAATCTCTTATTTTCTAATCTTTTGATTTGTGTTTTTATGCAAATAACCGCTATAGATGACGATCACAAAGTAAAAGGATATTTAGAATTTTTGACGGTTCATGCTGACTTGAACAGTTCAAAGGATATTTGACGGTGGTGAAAAAGAATAGTTTGGAACCTTGAAAAGGAACTGCTAAAACAACAAAAACAATGCATCGGCCAGTATGGCTCATTGACGATCAGCAATCCGTGTTGGCAGCAAAATAACCAAAAGCTAATGGGATCCCTGACTGAAAGCCGTGATGCAATCCAAACCGTGAGCTTTGTGATCCTTTGCATCCCTACTGTTTCCTATAGCTGCTAAAAATGTCAAGTATGCTCCAAGTATGTTTAGTAACTGTCTCCGTTTGCTTCCATCACCACACTACACCGTCGTTCAGGCTTTCATTAGGCAATGTTTTTATGGAAGCAAATAACTAACTAACTTTAAAAACTAAGCGGTAGTTCATTTGGTTTGTCACAGTGTAACTGTTGTGTATGTATATTATCAAAGCTTTTATTTTATTGGAAACAAATGGTAGCAAGAGGTAGACCACACACCAAGATTGGTGTATTTGTGGAGATGGAAGGCATAGGGGTGCTATCATTGTGCATTTACTGAATTTAGACTTTTGACATGCTGGAATGATAGAAATTGTCAAGTGTGTTGTCTTGCATGAAATACATGCCCTTATGTAGTCATGCATACGATTGTTGATGTGTGAAATGGTCTGAGCTGAATTGACGAGTGATCCTCGTTTTACAACGGGTGTGGAGCACGGTTTGCTCGGGTGATTGAACATAAAACATGCTTGATAGGTTGCATATTTAGTGGAGCACATGTGAACATAACACTCAAAGTCATTTAAGTGCAAGGAAAGAAATGAAACAAGTTGTTTGAAATCGGCCTTCTTTTCAGTGAAAAGGACTTGAGGCGATGCTACATTCCCCAGTAAGTCAGGCGATGGAAACGTAGATTCAGATTAAAATTAAGTTTGGTCTTTTAGGTGATCTGTAAGGTGACCCATTAATGGATAAACAAACGTTTTCCCACTATGGTGCCATGTTTGCCACCTTGTTTCTTTATAGACACAAGTGATTTTAAGTTAAAGTTTTCATTAAAAGCAGAAAAAAGAAGATGGTAGTAGATAGAAAATCTTGCTCTTCTACACCAATCTAATCCAAATGATTTTAATTCAGAGGTATTTGCTACCAGGGACATAAGAATTAGTTAATTTGTTCAAGTTAACAGTTCTGTTTAAACGTAACCTTTTAAACACGGCAGTAATCATAGCTTGAAATCAATATTTATCTTCGATAGTGTGGTAATTGTATGTCAATTGTTTTTATGCTTGTCTTCTGCAGCTTCTACTATTGTATAAAACGGGTCGATGGATCAGTTTGTCTTCTGTTGCGTCGTAGTCGTGTTCATCTTCTATCTGAGTGTTAGTTGCGCACATCTGTGGAAACGTGTGTCATGGTATTTTTTTAGTATTCAACCAGTAAAGTAGCGTATATAAATTACACAAGCTTCACGTTGTTTTCAGAATGTGAGCTTCTGTTAGATTGGATGAGGAATGACAGTTTGCACCGGCATCTTCAGAGAAACCAAGTGTGTAGATGGGGTTTGTTTACGGCACAAATCCAAAGGCTCTTAGCATCAGCAGTGATCTTATTAGAGTAATTAGCCATATAAAAACAAATTGCCTTTTTTATCAAAGAAATACAAATGTGGCCAGCTGGAAAGAGTGAGTTCTTAGCTCTGGCAGTAGATACTTTCTAAACAGGACACTTAAGGAAGGCACATTTATTTTGATGTAGATGTAAACCACTGACATTAACACATTCAAACTTGTGTCTCTAAAACATAATGTTACTGCTGTTGCTCTGACAGTCGCTTACATTTCAGTGTGCTTATTATTGCTTCATGTGTTATGTCACATTTGTAGAAACTGCTTTTTTTTTCCTTTTTTAATCCGAGGGCGGAGGCAGAAACGAGCATTGATCCCTGCTGTTGAGCAGATGTTTTTGTCAATGCACCCATTTGATCGTGCAGTTGGATTGATAATGGATTGACCAGCTTTTTCCCATCCGCACTAAGTACCCAGCAGGCTATTGCATATTAAGCAGCTAAGCTAGTATTATTTGAAGTTATTTTTAACTGAGAAAAGCTTGAATTGGGTTGAGCAAAAACTGACTTCAAAATCAGTTGGGTGGGGGGGAAGAATTGTTATTCAAAGCCTCCAAGTCATTTCTTAGGAATGTTGCCTTGATTTCAATTTCAGCTCTACATGAAGCCCGGTCCCCTCCAGACTGTGTTGCTTTTTCTCTCCCTTGTCCCTGTGGCAGTGGATTTAAGCCAGCCTACATCTGTGTACTGGTGCTACATCAGATGTTAAGTAATCACCAGAGAGATGCATGCTTCTTCTTTGCTTTAAATGTTCTTGCCTTGGCTGCTGCCGCTGCAGCAGCTTAGTCTTTGTGTCATTTTCCTCCCACTATGGGCAGCACTAGTCTTTTACTGGAAGCTGGGTGCAGTTATCTGTTTGAAAGTGCATCCCAGCATGTCTTCTCCTCTACTCCTTAATGACGGCTGAAAGTGAGCAAGCTGTTTGTTATAGAAATATGGCTGAGGCCCCCCCCCCCCCCCCCCAGTCATAGCTGCAGAAGTAGATGCTATTTAGACGTTCCATAGGAAGACATCACTATCGGGGCATAGTGTGCCCACATGCACCATGGAGAGCAGAACACAGTGAGGGAGGCGGTTTGCCTGCCAGGCTTAAGTAAAAGTGTCATTTCACCAGCTCATTTCAAAGGCTCGCCATGTTTCTCCCGGCTATAACAGTCCCTGGGATTCAAGGTGAAATTAAGTTTATGAACTTCACTTGATCACAGCTGAAGAACGCATGAGAGCAGTGACTCGTGGTGGTAAGACACGATAAACCAGCATGGATGCATACAGTTCAGATGTACAGTGAAGCTAAATAGATAGCAATGCTGCAAGCAATATTTGACAGTTGGATGCCTATTTCCCTAAATTAACACACAAATGTCTTCTTGTTTTAACATACTTTGAGTTTTGACTTCTCAAATGCATGTATTTTCACTATGTTACATACAGTGTTTTGTATTTCATAGTCTTGACTGAATTCAACATGTAGGAGCTGATGTAGCCAATATGAAAACCTAAGAACCTTTTTTTAATTTAAAGTCTTTGTAATGAAGAAATAAGAACCTCTCTTGTGAATTTCCCATCACAACACGGATACACCATCACTCATCTCTCGAAAACGCGTCTTGGGCATTCGTGCGATACTGACGTATGTGGAAAATATTAACCAGATTTAATCAAGTTGCTTACGTACTGTATTAATAAGCTGAAGCGGCTCGAGCTGGTGAACTTGACCGGCGGTGGAATTGCAGAGAGACCCGGCAGTGTGGGTGGAGGAAATTGAATTGCCTCTGTGCACATAAAGAGTGGGTGTCAATCTATTGTACATTTTAGAGATAAACTGTGGAGGGAGGGGAACGCATTGAGCCTCGGCTACTGCGCCGTGTCAGAGATGAGTTGGTGTAAAAGCGGAGCAATTGCCTGTCGTTTTTAATACGAGAGTTAGTTTGTGAAGTTACTGTAGGTTGTGAGCCAAATAGATGTTGGAAATAGGCCTGTGACCTCCTGTGCTCTTCATGCTCTGCCAAATGAGAAAAAATAACCGACTTATTTTTATACCCTGGTGTTGCTGATTGTGATTTATTCCTTGAGAACACTGCATTCATGATTCCTAAAAGGCAGTTTTGTCCATGTTTAGTTGTCATATATTGTGGAGTTTGTGTTTACTTTTCAGTTTCTATTAGGTGTGAGGTTGTATGTGTTTTCTGCTCTTGTGGTTGCAGGGCAGAGCCTCGGCTATGGATTTGTGAATTACGTGGACCCGAAGGATGCAGAAAAAGCCATCAATACCTTAAATGGCTTGAGACTTCAGACCAAAACTATCAAGGTAAGATGTCATGCGTGGTTTGTTTTCTGAATCTCTAACAGGCATTACCGTGTTCACCCTTATCTCCAATAAGCGACCTAATCAGACGGTCATACACAGCTGACTGAAATCAGTTACCATTCACGACTAGCTGCAAAAATCCAAGATATGCCGTTCATGTCTAGCTCTCTGGGATGGAGTCGGAAACATAATGAGGCTGGAGAAATGTGTGGTGGAAAGGGAAGAGCCTATTGTTAATCTGGGCACATGCAGCTTTGCCTTGGCCTCAAGTAGAGCAGAACTGTTTCTATGGTTGCATGTGCTGTAGCACTGCTGTATGCCTTTACAGGGAGGTGGCTGCCATTAGCATTCATCAGGCAATGTAGCACCCAATGTGCTGGTGGAGAAACTAATTTGCTTCATACAGTGCTGCAGGATTTTTGGATGGCGTGGCCGGATATCTTTCCACTGGTCTTACCAGGAGCTTGCCAGATCCCTTCTCTCACGTCGGGCAGAGGTGTATTCATGAAAGTGTGTGTGGGCAAAACACATTTTGCTTCTGAAAATTTGTTGAATTGCACAGAGTTCGTGAGCTGTATGTTTGATTATTTCTGTTTTTAACACCTAAATACTATATTGAAAGTTGAAGATGAGCCATACCGCTTCACTCTCATGAAGCAAACTGAACGCGTCTTTCTCCCCACCTCTCTTCCGCGCTTCATACCTCTGAAAGTATAACATAGGAGCATTTTTTTTTTAATATATCACACATCCCAAAATATCTAGCTGCTCTGTCAGAAGTGCAAATAAACCCCAGTGAGGTAGGGGAATGTACTTTGCAAATATTAGCATCAAATGAAGTGTGAAGGTGAGGCAGGGATGAGACAGAGCTCGGGAGTTGCCTGGCTGTGGACTGTGAGCTTTAGATTTCACGTTCACTTTGTCAGCCTGCCCTGCAGGGCAGGAACAGGGTGAGCTTTGCAAAGTGGATGACCAATTGGAGTTCTTATCGATCCGAGAGTACAAAAAGGAAGGTTTAATTATAGTGAGTGATTCTTTTTTTAATGTACATTTCTTTTCTTTCCTGTAATCCATTGCAAAAGATTACAAGGACTTGTTATAGGACCATTTAACATGCCTGACGCTGTAATTAAATGAAGCTGTAGTGCTTTTTAGGTTATTGACAGTCGAGTGGCAAGAACATAGAGCCACCGGACGAAAGAGAAGGCGAGGTTCATGTCAGCAGATTCATGACCTCTGTGATCTCTCGCTTAGTCCTCTTATAAACCACCCTTTAGCCATTCTCCACTTCAGCTGTTGCATTTAGGCTAACCGGGTCCCTCTGCATTGTATTGTATGTCATCAGTCATTGTATGACTGAAAATGATAATGTATGACTGCTCAGGGATGGATGATGTATTGATCCGCAGGTCCTGGTAGATGGCTCTCTTGTCTCGCCCCATTTTCTATTACTCGGCTGTGTTTATGGACAAATGTTGATTTATGCTGCATATTTATCTAGCCGGGTGCTGGGTGTTCTCCAAATATCTCCTGAATTTAGAAAAGGAAATGAGCAAGATTATTTTTAACAGGCAGCTACGCTGCTCTGTTGTCCATAGAAATGTGCAAGTTACAATCAATTTCTGTTTTAAATGAGAGCCGTCTCGAGAGGCCTGATGCTGCATCCGTCTGTCACGTCTCCGACTGAGTTGATGGACAAAAATGTGCAAGTTTAACTTTTTTCTTGACAGACTGATTCGCTGATGTGAGTTGATATATAGGGGGACAAACGCAGAACCCTAATGATTATAAAAACAATAATAATGGAGAAAACCTGGTATAGATGTTTTAATGTAGAGTAAATTTGTAAGCGCACAGGAACCAAATGTATCACCGTAATGCTCCTTAAAAATGTGACAATATTTAGTCCACTCTGACAATAGCGTGGTTCTCTTCAGGTGTGTTCAGACTGAACAAGAAGCACATTTTGTTTTATTTGAGTGAATTAAATTGTTGTGCAGCAGAATTTCTGTCTATTAGCCACAAACAGCCGGTGTGTGTGTGTGTGTGTGTGTGTGTGTGTGTGTGTGTGTGTGTGTGTGTGTGTGTGTGTGTGTGTGTGTGTGTGTGTGTGTGTGTGTGTGTGTGTGTGTGTGTGTGTGTGTGTGTGTGTGTGTGTGTGTGTGTGCGCGCGTGCGTGCTACAACTTACACTGATCTCAATTCTTAGCAGGAACTCCATTTGTCTATTTTCTCCAGACTTTCTCCTTTGTCTATATATTCATGGAGTCTCACAGCGTTGGTTTCAAACTGAAACTTTACAAGATTTGAGCAGACCGGTTTTGCCTGCAGTTGTGCCACCTGGAGTACATTTATTTTTAACATTTGCATTTAACATAATTGATCAATGGATCCAGTCGCATTAATATTTGCATCATTAAGTACAAACGCTTCTAATAAAGCAATTGTTGGTCTATCTGAGAATTCCAATGCATTCATCAATATACTGAAATATGATACAAACATTTGAACTAAGTATTTTTTGTTTTGTTTTGCATAAGGCATTAGGTGTGATGTTAATATATGTGTCAAACAGTGACATGTTGATTTCATAGCATGACTGTATTTAAAGAAAACTCAGTCCCGCTAATTACCAGTTAGTGTTTAATTTCTTTCTGGTAGAAATGGGTCACAGCGTCTGCTCCTCTGCTTCTGTTAGTTTAGAAAACCCAACATGAATAACCTGCCTTGATCTCAGTGAATTTGTATGAGAAGTATGCATGTTCAAAACTGTCTGTAATGTACTGGTGGTCATGTCTCCGTCTGTAGGTTTCCTATGCGCGTCCAAGCTCCGCCTCCATCAGAGATGCAAATTTGTACGTCAGTGGCTTGCCAAAAACCATGACTCAGAAAGAACTGGAGCAGCTCTTCTCTCAGTATGGACGCATCATTACCTCACGCATTCTGGTGGACCAAGTGACTGGTGAGTAGGACATGACAGCCCCCCCCCCCCCCCTCTCCCTCCCCTTGCTGCTTTTCTCTTCACCTGCTTCCAGCAGTGACTCCCCAGCAAAGACAAACAGCCAGGCCTGAGAAATACATCAAAGGTGGTGGTACATCACCAAAAATGTCATTTCTCACTACAGTTGTCCATAAATATGCATAGATGGACAGAATAGGAAATGGGTGTTAAGTGGCAGGACTCCAGGCTTCATAATTTCTTTTCCCCTCCAGTCTCCCTTCCGCCTGCACTTAACTTCTCTTGCTTTTCTTCCTCCTTCTCTTCCCGTCCCCCAAGGTGTACATGCCATGCCCGTTTCATGACAAGAAACGAAATGCATTAAGAGAAGTTATATTCTCTATATCTCAACTGTCATGTGGTAGCAGAACCCTTATGAAACACTGATAAGCAGAACATCTAACGGAGACGTTTCCCAGTGGTTGTGTCCCCGTATGCTGCAGAAACATATGATATTCCTTCAGACATGCATAATGGGAAAGGTTATCTTTCTGGAGAAATCTTTCAGTTTTACTTTAGTATTAATGGAACAACCAAAGGTACTCGTTCTTCCCCAAGACTTTCTACTACAGTGGCTCTCAATGACAGAACTCATACAAGAATACAAACAGAAATGCACTCCATATCAAATACTGGAATGCATAAGCTCATACCATAAGAGAAATGTACTTAACAAGAAACCAGCAAAAAAAAAAGTGGTACCACAAGCAACATGTGGTACTGGAGTGATGGACCTCATTTTGACTTGGTAAAGATACTGATGCTCAAGGCTGATTGGCAGGCAGCAGCAACAACAGGAAGAAACAAGACCAAGAGCGAAAGACATGCATGGCTGTCCCAAGAGGTAAATAAGTTAAAGGACTGATGCTTAGCCAACAGATCTTATAAGTTGATTTATCATCTATTTAAAGGGTTTATGAGCCGGTGGGGTTTGATCAAAATAGCTAGCCAAGTAATCTAAAAAATAATGTACTCTAGCTAGATGATAACGCTCACTTTCTATCACTACACACAGAAATGTATCGTCAGCAGTTAGTGTAATGCTACCAATCTTTCTGTAAAGTTTGCTCGGAGGTGATGTTTAGATACACATTTTTTCTTACCTTGTGTTTTCTCCTCTTCTCTCTTTCTGCCGTCTTGGGCAGTCCGTGCATGTCACGGTCTTCAGACTTGGTCTTTCTACCTGCTGCCTGCTAACGTCCCACGATGGGAAAGCTGGTGTTCTGTCAAAACAAGTCCACTTCTTCACCTCCCCCATGTTTATTCTCCCGTGACACATTTCACTTGTGCTTTTGGTGCTCCGTTGTATAGAAATGTATTTAAGTTCCAGTTTTTATGTACCTCAAATTTTGCTGATTGATAATTGTATGCCTGCTACAGCAAACCTCTCTGCTCTCGTATTGAACTACTGTTTAACTCAGTGGAGTTCAAGCTGCATATCGGCACTGAATGTTTTCATGGCTGTCAAGAGAAACTCGGCCACTGATCTTATGTTAATTCTCTCTCCTCAGGCGTTTCCAGAGGGGTCGGCTTCATTCGTTTTGATCGGCGAGTTGAGGCCGAGGAGGCCATCAAGGGTCTTAACTGCCAGAAGCCGCCTGGTGCCACCGAACCAATCACGGTCAAGTTTGCGAACAACCCGAGCCAGAAGACCAGCCAGGCACTTCTGTCCCAGCTGTATCAGTCGCCCAATCGAAGGTACCCAGGACCCCTCGCACAGCAGGCCCAACGCTTCAGGTAAAAGGAGCACACCAAAAAATGTGAATCTGATTAGAGCCGAGTTAATACTGCCAGTGATTTATGAGTCTGACCCTCTGAGGCTATTTGAAATTAGCATTTAAATTGTCTAACACAGTACTTTGAAAATATTCTGTGTGGAGCTCATCAATGCTCTGGACAGAATTATTTCGACCCATATTAACTTTGCTGTGTTTCCCCTGATGCAGATGTCGGCCTATGATACAATTGGGTTCGAGCAGATTTTGATAAATATAAAGAGTTTTTAAAAAATCAATAGATGGTGTGAAAGTTTTGCATAGTTGGTGGCCATTGTGGAAATGAAAATCAATTTGCATACTGATTGACCTCAGTGGTACTGTATGCAAACAATCACAATTCATGGAATATTTTTAAGTCACATGCTTAAAAATATGGTTCTGTTGTGTATTAATAGGTTGAATATTGATAAACACATTCAGTCAACAGGTTAAGGAGAAGATGATGATCAGAAATATTACTCATCTGTCATTCTGGCAAAATGCATCATTAACGTGGTGAAACGCTTCCTTCTGTATTGACATTAATGTGTGTGGCTTTGTTTGTTTTTTTTGAAGGTTGGACAACCTGCTGAACATGGCCTATGGAGTCAAAAGGTAATTCTATTCTTATTTACAGAATGTACAGTTGTATGAGCAAGTTGAGTCATTTGCGCTTGAAGTGTAATGTTGATTGATAATTATTTGATGTCCCTCTCTTAAATAAGGAGAGTGCCTCTATTGGATAAGGTCAGGGATGCTTTAATCTTGACATAATGTCACATGTCTAAATTAAAGTCTATGCTGCTTGTCTACATAACAAAGGGCAGAATGTCTTGCTTGCTATTGCACACAATTGCATACTTGTATTTTGAGCTCTCTGCTCTTACCTTGATCTATTATGGACAGTCTTGTCCTGTTTTAAACTTGGTTGCGTCAGATGTCTTTCAGGATTTGCCAGGATACCAGTTTGTCAAAGTTCAGTTTTAAGAATGCCTCCCTCAAGTATGATTGAAGTCCAATCCCCTGAAAGCTCAAAGGCCCGTCACCAGCGACAATAGACTTGTGATTTCTCTTCTGCCCCGCTCTTTGGCTGACGTCTTCGTTGCCAAATCTCTCTGCGTGTCCTTGATGCTGGGAGCACACCTGTCATGGTGGATGTTCCCTGAGAGGCCAACTGGAGCAGCTAATCTTATGTGACACCTGCTGCAATAATTCATAGGCTTTCCATGCACTTTGAATTTCGTTTCTTTAAACTGCAATACCACATTTGCCAAAAGCCAGTGCTTTTGAGTGGCTTTTCATTAGCCTTGGCACCAACGCCAACTTTAATATGGCAACTTATTTGCCGTTCAAATTTGCCCTTTTGTGTTTTTGAGTAAATAACTCCGCGGCCCTTTCTTTGTAGGCTCATCGTGAGCTCAAAAAGCAAAGAATTGTTTTTATAATCTCCAACTCTAATAAGAGATAACTGACTGAATGCTTGTCTGTGTGCTGCATTGTTTGCTGCTCAGTCAAACTTACAGGTCGCCTTTCTTTTGACGAGGCTGACTTATTATTGTTCAGCTGAAGAAAAATATTTACTTATAAGATAACTTCACAAGTTCATAACTTCGACCAGTAATAACTTGTATTGATTTTCTGAAAAAGTGTTTGTGAAATGAGAGCAGGGCGATATCTCCGACTGTAGAAGCAATGAAAACACTCGGCGTGAAGCACGGCTGGTGCTGATCTCTGTAGAGACGGAGTCACATTCTGTTAGGCTTGTTGGCAAACTCTCCTGTCTTGTAAAGAAATCTCCATTCCATCCTCATTGTGTCTCTTGCCTTGAACTGTGTTGCTTGTGGTCTTTTACAGCCGGTTCTCCCCCATGGCCATCGATGGGGTGACCAGCCTGGCTGGCATCAACATCCCGGGGCACGCAGGCACTGGCTGGTGCATCTTCGTCTACAACCTGGCTCCGGATGCAGACGAGAGCATCCTTTGGCAGATGTTTGGGCCGTTCGGTGCCGTCACAAACGTCAAGGTTATTCGCGACTTTAACACAAACAAGTGCAAAGGATTTGGTTTCGTCACCATGACTAACTACGACGAGGCGGCCGTGGCCATCGCCAGCTTGAATGGATACCGCCTCGGGGACAGAGTGCTGCAAGTCTCGTTCAAAACCAACAAAACACACAAAGCCTGATACCCACTGAGATTGTTTCTAGAAAACTCGCCAGAAAACGGAAACAGAAAATGGAAGCGCATTGACCGTAACTTTCTACATTAGTAAAAACAGCTTTGTAAATCAGTGTTACGAAGAAAAACAAAATTTAGCGTCCGATGTAATTTTTTTTTTTTCTTTTTCATCGCTACGCTTTGAATCTTCTCGATATGCTTTGGACAGGAAAAAATACAGCAGGTTGTAATCCCTGTGATGTTGGATTATCTCGCTGTCTTTACAGATGGACCATCTGAAATGTTACTATAGGTTTTTTGTTATTTAGTTGCACATCTGCTTTGAAACAGTAAGTCTCGTGAGGTTACGTGTCGTGATTTTCTTTGTGTTTTCGTGTCCTGATTTGCCTTCGGTGCATTATGCCTTCAGTGGTTAGCAAGTACTTATTTTGAACTATTTGCAGTTTTGTTGAGTTTGTAAGTATTCCGTTCATTGTAATATGAGTTGGTTATTGGTTGGCTGCATAATGTTGCTTATTGTAAACTTAATGGATAAAAGACAAAAAAAAAAAAAAGAATCTTAACGCAGTACCTTGCCAAAGAGCTAATAACCTCTTTGATGTGGGTTTAAAAAGCATCTATTTTTATAAAAAGAAAAATTTGGAGAAACTTTTTACTGGACCTGGAACAAAATATTTTGACTTGGATACTTTGAAAAATATCTTCATATGACACCTTGTGAGCTTTTGAACTTTACAGGAAAGTTTGCAGTGGTTGAAATTTCTGGGGAGATTTATGATGTAAAAGATACCTTTTGAGATCTTTGTATTATCTTTAGATTATAGAATCAATGGCAGTGCTGGTTTCATCTGTAAAATCATCTGTGGGTCCCCTGTCATCCTGGTTGTTATATAACTAGCAACTCTCTTTCCGATTTGATTTGGAAACTGATAAAAATACAAAGGTTTATTCGCAAAAAAGTGCATGCAAAATTATAACGTGGAGATGTCTTAAAAGGTAAACGGGGGATAAAAATCAGTTCTTCCTGTAGGATTGCCTTCAGACAAAGGAGCTTCTGGTATACCTACGATGTATCATTAGACTGATTTTTGTCTCAACATCAACCAATAAGGGTTTTTACATACTTTGTATGAAAGATTGAGGACAATGGAGGCAGCAGCTTAAGAACAGAACGGATTACTCCTGAGCTTTGTAAATAACTCCTTTTTATGTTGAGTATTTGGCCGACTTCTTTTGGTTCTCGTTCTTCATCGGACAGTGTGTGATATATAAATATATATCGTTTTCTTTTTTTGGAGTAAGTAAGGTATTTTCTTTTTGGATATTAATCTTTAACTTTTCCGTTTCCCTTCAGTTGAAATACTTGATTTGTTGTCCCATGGACGAGCATTACAGTGCATCAAATATGTTGGTTGTTTGGTCTGTAGATAGTCTCGCTTCGTAACAAAAAAAAGCTATTAAGAACCTATAGACATGTTTTTGTTTTTTATATATAAACATTATAGATATATATTTATGTGGTAAAGAATGGATATAAACCACAGTTTTGAACCATTTTAGTTTTTTTTGTTTTGTTTCCATACTCGTATATCTATATATATATATCTGTATAGATATATCTGTATAGATATATCTATACATCTATTGTAATGCATATAACCTCTTTAAAATCGTACAAAGGTGTATATTGCTTGATTCACTTTGGGGGGGGGGGTCAGTGACGCGGTTCCACTAACGAGAGTTTGTCTCAGGCCGTCCCAGGAGCCCTGAACAGACAGACGCTGTCCCTGCATCCTGCTCGGTGTTTAAACCAACACTAGTCACGCTTCCCCTTAAATGAGCGGTGTGCTATGCATTATGGGATTCTCTTTGCATTAGAGGATTCTCTTTGCAACTGCTTTTTCTTGTTTATCTATTCCTTATTTGTGTTACTTGTAAAAGTTAAATTTAAGTCTAGATGAGTTGTGATACTTGCTGCCGTGGGTTAGAAACTCAACTTTTCATGCCTGACCGGTCATTGTTTAAAATATTTCTTTTCTTTTTGTAACTTCTTCAACGATGATTTGGTCTTGACAAATTGTGCCGATGGTCCGGCATGAAGAACGGTTCCCTCCCACCCCTCTTATCTCAATTCCTAATATAAGAATGATTATTTATTTGAAGTTGTATAGTCTGTTTTGGTTAACAGCATTTTTGGAATAGAATATCTTTTGAGTATTTAAAAGGATGTACATGTTCTTTACTTTGTGTTTGGATACTTTTTGGTTTTTTCCATGTTCAGTACATCAATAAATAAGTTGAAGGGCAATGCAGCACTGTGAATGGATCCCATCACTCATCCAAATTTCTGTTTACTTTTTTCTGATTTAACATCTGAACATTTTATGGTTCTTACCTTCTTACCGTTCTGTACATTTTTTTTCTGACTATTATTGTTTTAATTCAAGCAGAAGGCACACCCTTTATCATTTTCTGTAAATCATCGAATTGCTCTGGAAAGAGCAGCATCTCCAGAGATCACTGGAGTCTGGATGTCCCGGGCCAAGGACCCCAGGTCCACTTGACCCCGCTGTAAAGATCTACACTCTGCTGTCTGTGTTTGGTCAAGTGTCACATGTTCATTCGTGAGCTTTAGAGGTGCTCGTCGACACTTTTCTTCTCTAACTTTCGTTATACTTTGAATAAGTCCGTGTCACAAAATGTCAAACCTTCCTTTCATGGACCCCGATTCAAACTTTGAATTGTACTGTATTGACTTGACTATTGCAATTCCTATCATTCATACTAGCGACTTTATTTATTTCTTTGTGAATTATTGACATCTCTAACTTTATGTTTTAACATGTTTAAACCAGTGTTTACTTTCTATGTTTCTTTGTTGGACTGCAGCAAAGAGGGGCCCAGCCCTATGAACTCCAATGCGTTTGACCTGGTACACAGTCCCACAGTTTAGTAATTAATGTCGTACAACAGTGTTAGTTTTGCCTCTTGTTGCTCTAGCGATGAATGTCACGTTTGCTACACTTGTCGATTCAATACTTTGCGGTGTAAAGTTTTACGGTTGAGGATAAAAGCTGCTTGCTTGAATGCACCATCAAAGAGCAGCACACGGCTTAAAGGAAGAAGCCTGATATAGAGAATTGATTCTTCCTTTTTATGTTTATCTCGTGCTCCACTTGAGGCAGGCAGCCTCGCTGAACATGGACTGGCCTGCTTTGAAGTGTGCTCCCCTGCTGCGCAGCCACCTCATGCTGCCCGACTGTCATTCTAGGGGCATTGCAAGGACACGGATGTGGAGCTGCTGAAGAAACCACACCGCCTTTCTTTTGCAAAACAAAGCTTTTTTTTTTTCCAAAGCTTTCCGTTTGGGTTCCAGCACGTCACTCATGTAGACAATATTCGTGGCATGCTCAATCATGTAGTCATGTAGCGCTCTGTTTGGCTAGCAGAAGATAAGGAGGCTAATCTGTGCGCTGCTTAAAAAGCTTTCACTCTTCTAATAGCATGTTGGATGAGAAGTAATCTTTGGTGACGGCAGTCTTTCTATGAGGGAGTCATTTTTAGCAGTTTAAAAGAATCCCATATGTCAGTGTTAAGGTTGCATGGCTCTTTGGTTTCTCCTTAACGGGAAACTGATATTGAAAAGCTTTGGCTGAATGGCGGCATGTTTAGGTCTTATCTGGCATGCTTGAGGCTCGTCTCCCAGCTGAAAGCGGTCTTCTAACGGCAGACGCGTGATGTTCGGCATCCTCTAGCTATATGTTGCTGCTAGTTGAAATAGGATTAGGCTTCAGCAGTTAATGGCCATCACTGATGAGTTGATGTCACATCTTTCTGTTATTTGATGTCTAGAAACAGATTTCCAGTCGTTAGGTTTCCTCTTTCAATGCGCTGAGTCATCAAGGTTCTGACTTTGACTCCTTATTGAATGCTTTGTATGAGCAGTCATTCAGATCACAAAGTGAGTTACACAAATGAGCTTTTAAGTTTGAAGAGGACACCATTTCATCCTTAGTGTCGTCTCGGCTTCCTCTGCAAAGGCCAAAATATTACATTTAAAAAGTCTGAATTAAAAGTCACCCAGCCTATGAAGTGAGGAAGTAATTGGCAGATGGCACAGTCTGGTCTGTCCACTGCAGTGGTTCACAAGCTTTGGTGTCAGACGTCCCCCACAGCACTGTCGGACTAACTGGAGGACTTCAACAACCTGCCGTGCTCTAAATGCGCTTATTTGACATTCAGTATATAAAAGTAGATATTGTTATTAATTGAACTGTAAAGTGCTGCAGCCTGTATGTGGAGACGTGAGCTCCAGCACAGGATGAAGAGGTCTGTTAATGAAGAAAGGGGTCACACTCCCTCCATCATCATGCCGCCCATGTGCTGCTCTCACCTGTTGTGAAACTTAGCATACTGTAGCATGGTATGAGACGGGACATGAATAAAACATGCTTCTACGTGTTGTACCGAGCTGCTGATGTCAGCGGGTGCACGTAAACATATTTGCATTTGGTCCGTCCGCTGATGTGATTAATGGCCCGCCAGGATTTCTATTGCGCTCATTTATAATTTGCACCGACCCTTTTGTTCACATTTCACAGTTCAACTGAAGCACAAAGCCCTCTGCAGCTCATGGTTTTCCTCCTATTGTGTGTTTTTGAGAGCTGTTATTTAATGCTCACATGAATGGGATCATAGGAGTGTGTTAATGACGGGATATTTGTGCTTTTGAGCACAAAAGCGACAGATCTGCAGAAGTTGGAACATCAGCATTTTGCATACCGATGCATTCCTTTCCACGGTTCCCACTATGAAACCGGTATACAATGGAAGCTTAGTTGTATGCCTAGAATATTAGGCATAAAACACAAGATCAATACGTTTAGACTTCTATGGCATTGACATTATTTCACATCAATCAATAGTTGTTGTTTTCAATATAAGAAGGCAATAATAACGGGTAGTTGTGGCCTCGTGCCCATTCTGTCAAAGATGTGTTTTTATTTTGAATAACGATGCATTTGAAATTGATATGCTTCATGGAATAATATTATACAGATTTAGTGTTCTTGGTTTGCACAACACGCAACGCTCCAGAGAGTCATTTTCAAACAATTAAACATGTTGAGATGCATAATTTCCCCAGTCACAGATATTGCACAACACAGTCGCTGCAGTTTATTCATTTCTGGGCCAAAAATGAAAATCTTTCACCACAACAAATCTTTGGTATTTGAACTCAGCTGAAGTTAATTTTCGACACACATTGTTGCTACATTTTGTTGTAAAGACCTTTCACTTTCCATGTTAAATGGTGCTTCCAATAGTTGCCAGTAAAGCGGTTGCCAGCATCTAGTCTAGCTTCATGTTGCCGAGCTGGTTTCTCTGGTCCTTGACAGAACGAGCACTGAAACCTCTCTGCTTGACCCTCCAGGTTGAAATGCATTTGTGTCATCCGGCTCATTCTCCTGCTCTGTAGTGTGCCCTGTGCACAGATGATCACTGAGTGCGTGTCCTCTGTAGAACAATGGCTTTCATCCACAGATGAAACGCTCTTCAACGTTTTAAATGAGAAGTCCTTTCAGCTGATTGGGGTGGAGTGGTTGAATAGTGTTTTTATGTGGCTTGTATATGATCCCTTCAATGGCCCAGTGTCTCAGATAATGTACAGGTGTCTTTGTGTAAGGCTGATACATTAAGCAGTCCCTGAAATCGTATCTTTAACAAGCCGTTATGGAGAGTTAGACATCTTGCACATATCTTGTGAGTTAAAATAGTATTTTTGACTGACTTGAAATGAATTAAATGGTGAGAGTGAAAGGAAATGAGACCCTTTTTTAAAAATTCCCCACAATTTCGAAATGCCATGCGGCTAACATCGTGCACTATACGATGTTGAATGCTTCTCTTTTGCATCGTGTGTCCATTTTTCAGACATCAAAGACAGTCTGCTCAGCATTCGACCTTGTTCTGCTGTCTTCCTCTTACTTGCAGTCCACGGTCAAACCTGCTCAGTGATTGGATTTAAGTTATCACATCACAACCGGTTGGAGCTTGGCTTCCTCCGGCCCCTATTAGATCAGCGCCGACTTCCACCAACGAGGCATATCTTCCTGTTAGCGACTCTTAACAGGGCTCAATGTTATTCTCCCTATGAGGCATTGGCACCTCCGTTCCATAATGAGCCGGTGAAGAAAAGGGGTGCAGATTAGAATAACAGCCTTAACTAATCCATAACAGGCCAAATGAGGCGCCACGTTTGGGGGAAACCATGTCATTTCTCATTTTGCAGTGCCGCGGAAAATTCTCTTTCTCTCAACCTCTCACTCAAAACAAGCCCCAAGAATAGCAGGCTGCTGGCACAAGGACGGCAATCAACAAAACATAGCTCCTTCCCCTATCTCTCCTCTTTTTCTCAGCTCCTGCCGATAGTCTGAGGAAAGACGGAATCTATGCCTCTGACTCTGACTTAGAGGAAACTACAGAGGGCTCCAGCCCACACCTCAGATGGAGGCTCTTTTTTTCTCTCCCAGTGAATGGCTATCGACAAGTCTTGTTCTGTAGCGATGGGCAAACGACGCTCTCTTGAAGCAGCGAGGCTTTCCAGACAATAGTTTTTTGGAAATGGGTTCATTTGTCTTGGCTGGAGTGTTCCCTAAGGGCCCCTGCTGGTCAAAGGAATATACAGCCGACAGGTTTATTATTGCTTTAGACAGTGATGCAATAAACAAGCGGCAACAGTTGGTTCAATTACACTTTATATGTTTTGTGGTGAATGAGGAAAAGTTCTGTGTTGTAGCTCAGGTCAATGAGCCACAACGATGAGTGTTCATAGATGATGGAGTCAGATGGCTTGGACCTAATTAGGTCTGTAGGATCTGGGGAAACGAGCCTATTTTTGGGGGTTTATTTGTCAGTTAATGCTTTGACAAAAGATGAGTTTGTCATTGATCAGTATGCACAAGTATATTCATTCAGTACATGTTTAAGAAAGTGCCAGTTTGAAGATTACAATTAATAATTCTTCCTTTCTGCATTTAATACAAGATGTATCTTTAAATATGCTCTTTTGATACGAGTTAAAAGAAAGCTGCGGCTCCTCAGTACCCAGGTTACATTGAGCGTTACAATATATGCTGATGACACACTGGTATTGTACCTGAATGCAGTACTATTTAATTCATGGACAGTGGAATGGAAAGGACCCAAAATAGATGCTTGAGGAACTCTTTAGTGCTCGCACTATACACGACGATCCATTCAACTAATAACCATGAAATGTTAAAACCAGTCTATCGATACAAATGTATGAAAGCCTTTGTAAAAGGCTAAAATCAAATATAATCAAATAAGATATGAGTTGACCATCCAGCAACTGCATTGTTGTGATTTTCTTGTCCATTACAATGTTTATGAAACCTCTCACTCCTGTTGTGCAGCAGCTGTAGCTGGATCCAACATGTGTATCGAGGTTCTCTAATCGCAGCAAGTCGGTCTGACGAGCTGCTGCAGTTCTGGTCGTTTCCTGTCACTTGCACATCAGCTGCAGGCAATGACATGATTGACAACGATGGGCAATGCAGAGTACCTTCTGTTGCATACCAGCTCCAGGTTACCTGTAATTTCCACTTACCTTCTGACCCCGGCTCATCGTATAGTGTGTGTGTGTCCCTAAAAATGTCATTTTGAGCGTGAAACCAAGAGAGCAGGTATGAGGACTTTTACTTTTTCGACAGTCTTGACAGATTGCAACACCCCACTGTGTTTGCTGGTACATGCACGAGGCTGTGATGAAAACTCGGCAGGAGTGTGTCCGTTTGTCCTCGAAAGTCTCAGCGTGTTGCACATCTGAACGCATTTGGCATGTTTACGATGTGTCCGTACATTTATGCAGTGTGAGCCTTGCATCACTCGTTTGATGTGTGCCTGGGAAGAGGACGAAAGTAGCTGCTCGCTGCCTCGCCAGAGTCTGTTCTGCTGTAATAAGGTCCTGATTTAAGGTTGACCAGAGCACACCGGTAATGGGGCCTCTGCAGCCAGTGGAGATGAGATCTCTCCACAATATTTACCCAGGGAATAATGATGTTTGATTTGACTCTGCTCCGGGTGTGTCTCTGTGAGGGCTGTTGTCGCCCACTGCTGCCACTGAGAGAGGAAACTGACGGAAGCTGTGTCCAGAGGAAAACAAGCCTCAGATCCTTGTGTGTGTGTGTGTGTGTGGATGATGCTAGGCTGGTGTGTTTCTGTGGCCTTCAGAATGAAGAGCTGCTGTGTTAGCTGATTACTATTCACTCACATGCTATACTCCATCTGTGGATCTCTCTGAGATTGTGGGTTGTATTTACTCACCCAGTGTTTCCTCAGCAGCTCGGTTCCATTGCTACAGAAACTGTAGAATTCAGCTCATTATAGTCTGCACACCCTCTGAGGAGCGGAGTCATTTGCATGGCTGCTTGTCGAACCCATGGTAATGTTGACAAAGATTTGCAGCCATTTTAATCACGCCACGTAAAAAGGTATACAAAGTAGTTTATGACTGCTCCGCTACCGAGCAATAGGCACATCCCTTACTGCAGTGCACATTGAAAAGATTGCACTTTGTTCCGAGCAGCGATTGCAAATCACAGACGTCAGAAAGGTAGAGAGAAATAGATGACTGCGACGGCAGTTTGAGTTTTACGAAAAAACGCATTTACATATTAAACCACACAGCAGCGTGCAGAGCAAAAAGGCTCTGTTTGAATTGCACGCTCCAGCCTGCCTTCCCGTCAGTGTAAGGGGTAGCGGGGGCCTCACCGCTGTGACTGCAGTGCCGTAAATTTGGAAGTTGTTTACGGATGCTGCCATCTTGGTGCGCTCCGGGAGGGAAACTTGGAGCAGGGCCATTTACCGGCAGCTTGATGAGAGTGCAGTGAGGCGAGTTAATTAATACAACATCCCTGGGCCCACAGGCTAGGCTGCAAAGCTAACCCAGGAGGGAGGTAGAGATAGAGAGAGCAGACCAAGAAAGGGGACGGAAGAAGGGCAATCTATGATGCGTGGGAATTTTATTTATATATATATATACACACACACACACACACACACACACACACACACACACACACACAACTGTGAAGAGTGGGGCTACAGTAACAGCTTGGCGGCAAAACACAATTAAATTGCATAGCTAAGATGACTAAATCAGCCATCTTGAT